AGTCCAGAACCTGAGATCGTGACCTTATTGACAGAAGGGTCTTTGCAGATATAATTAAGGGGGCTTAAGATGAGATCATTCTTTTTTTTTTTTTTTTTTTTGAGATCATTCTTGATTAGGGTGGGCACTGAGTCCAGTGACAGGTGTTATAAGAGAAAGGAGAGGGAAATGTGAGACATGCATAGGGGAAGGCCATGTGGGGGTGGAGGCGGAGACTGAAGGGATGTGGCCACAAGCCCAGGAGTACTGGAGCTACCAGAAGTTGGGACAGGCCTGGGACAGACTCTGCCTTAGAGCCTCAAGAAGGAACCTGGGATCCCTGGGTGGCACAGTGGTTTAGCGCCTGCCTTTGGCCCAGGGCACGATCCTGGAGACCGGGGATCGAATCCCACGTCGGGCTCCCGGTGCATGGAGCCTGCTTCTCCCTCTGCCTATGTCTCTGCCTCTCTCTCTCTCTCTCTCTCTCTCTCTCTCTCTCTGTGACTATCATAAATAAATAAAATAAAATAAAAAAGGAAAAAAAAAAAGGAACCAGAGCAGCCACGCGCAGCGGTTTAGTGCCGCCTGCAGCCCAGGGCGTGATCCTGGAGGCCCTGGATGAAGTCTCACGTCAGGCTCCCTGAATGGAGCCTGCTTCTCCCTCTGCCTGTGTCTCTGCCTCTCTCTTTCTCTCTCTCTCTCTCTCTCTCTGTCTCTATGAATAAATAAAATCTTTAAAAAAAAAAAAAAAGAAGGAACCAACCCTGCCCACATCTTGATGTTGAACTTCTGTTTCCTGAACTGTGAGAGTGAATTCTTGTTTTAAGCCACCCTGTTTGTGGTCTTTTGTTACGGTAGCCTTGGGACACTGAAGGTAGGACTATTGTGGTAGCTTAAATGTACTGGAAAAGGCTCTGTGCCCATAGTGGGGGCTCAGGGACACCAGGGGTGCCATCTGTAATGCTTGGGGTGGGGAGACATTGAGCACAGGGTGGCCAGGGTCTGTGCTACACTTCTTGACCGTCTATCTTGGGTGGCCTCCGCCTTGAGGTGTCTCTGACCCCTCAGTCTTGCTGCTGCTTGTTCAGTCAGTTTAAACCTGAGAGAAAGAGGATTTGAGAGGCATGGAAGGGAATATTGTTCTGGAAAGATCTGAGGCCTCAGCCGGCTGGTAGGACGTAAGGCAGACACGTGATAGTACTTACTGGGGGTCCAACATGACCACACATAGTCCTGGCAGTGGACACAGTGTGACCAGCAGACCTTGAGTCTTGGGTCCCCACCATCTGGTGGGGACTGGATGTGAATGGGGGGCAGGGTCATGGAACAAAGGTGTTTCCAGTACAGCAAACCGGATGGGACACACTTAAGGCTTCACACAAGTAGGTCTGGGTCAGCCAGGCGTGCTGCACCAACTGCCACTTTCCTAATTTTGCCCCTGGAAGGCAGGAGGGTGGCTTTAGGGGAAGCTGGGTAAGGGCTGTAAGGAAACAGTGTATCATCTGCAGTTTTTCTGTAAATCTACAGCTTCTGCATTGAAAATTTTATTTAAAGCAACATAAACCAAGCTAGAGACTGATGTGATAGTGATTTGAAGGTGCTGCTTCTTGGGTAGAGTGTCAGGGAGGCCTGTGGGATGGGCATGGGGCTGTTAGAGGCCCAGGACCTGAGGGCACACAGACTCAGGGTGCTTTGAGGCAAAGGAGTGGGGAGAGCAGAAGGCAAGGAAGTAATGGCAAAAGCATGGGTAATGGGGGTGCTCACCCACCCTCAGCCCAGGCCCTCTGAATCTGGAGTGGGGTCCACTCTCATAGTTGGGGAGCCTGGACTCACCCCAGGCTATTTAACCACAGGCCAAGGGGAGCAAGGGGGAGCCCTGGGAGATGTGGGTCTCCTATTCTAGCACGTGTCCTCCAGCACATGATGGCCTTGTCTGGGTCTCACTGCCCTTTCCAACAGCCATGAGGATGGGGTGGGGGGAGGCAGAGGCATCCAAACCCTACTTTGACCTCGAGCCTCTAAGTGTTGGGAGCTGTGTTGGCCTCTAAATGGGCCTGTCACCTGGTTTGGGAAAGTCAGCCCTTGAGAACAGGAACAGTGGCATTCACTCACTCACTCACTACTCACTCACTCACTCACTCACTCACTCACTCACTCACATGTTCGGACATGTATTCTGTGAGCAGGTGCTACTAAGCCACAGGCTCTGGCTTGGATGCTGGGTTTACAGAGCCCTTTGGCAAGATTAGGGCAGGTGCCATTGGGGGGGCTGCACAGTGAGGACTCCTGGGTGGAAGGATGCAGGTGGGGCTGTGGCTTGGCAATAGGAAGAGGCTCACACTTCAACATTCAGCAGCTTATCAGGTCTTGCCTGGTGGTGTTACTCTGCTGTCCTTCCTTCCCGTGGGGCCTCTGAAGCGACAGGTCCTTGGGCAGGGGGCCCCAGGCTGGTATCTTCTCACCTCAGTACCCTGGGGGTTCCTGGCCAGGCCTGGGGGCAGTTAGCTCCTGCAAAGTTAGGGGGACCCCAAGACCATGCTCAGATCAGCAGTTTACTTGAGGCACACAGGACTCCCTGGAAGCCATTACACTTCCAGTTACTGTTTACTACAAGCAAAAGGACACAGATGATAATCGGCAAAGAGAAGAGGTGTCTGGAATGGCACCCAGCAGAGTTCCAGACATGGAACTTCTGGTTATCCCCTCTCTGTGGAGTCGTGTGGACAGCTTTCACTTGTAGCACTGCTGTGTGACAATATGCAGGGTGTACTACCATATGGAGATGCTCCCTGAACCTTGGTGTCCATGGTTTTTACTGGGGCTCACCCACATGGAGCTGGCTGATTACCACATGGGTGACCTCCGTCTCTAGCCCCAGTAGAGGGCAAGCTGATTCCACATGACCCAAGCCTCCTGCCCTAAATCACACTGTTGGCATAGACCACCCCAGGCCCCAGACAAACAAAGATCGTCTTGTTAGGCAGGATGTTCAGAGGGCTTCTACCTCTCAGGAGCTGGGGGACAAAGGCCAGACTTTTCTAGGTCAGGTGGACACTTTCCTGTGCAGCTAATATGTAACCAGGGACAGACACAGGGTCCCCCAGAAGTAGTACAGGGCCCTGCACACCTTCCACTCCAAATCCAGAAGCTGTACTCTAATACCTGACAGTCCTGTGGTAAAGTGTGGAGGTGGGTAGGAGGCCATTGCTAGAGAGAAGGGTGCACACAGAGGCAGGGCCTGGGAGGACTGGTGTCGCAATAGCATGTGAGCATGAGCATCCTGTCACTTCCCAGTCCTGTAGATTGTCCCCAACACCAGGCTCTTTCTGTACTGGAACATGGTGGTTTTGTGGGGTGCTTGGATGGGATGCTGGGGCTCCCTGAGCTGGCAGTTCAGCCTGTGACAAAAATGCATGTGGTGTAAGTACTTCCTATTTCACATGCCAGGTATTCCTATACACTCCTGGACAAATGAGAGGGAGAAACCGAGGCCAAAAAGGGGGCCACGTGGTCCTTGAGAGTTGGATGCAATGCTGGCTTCTGCCACAAGGCTCAAATACAAGGAAGCACTTGGATGTCTTGGGTCTAAGGTGACTTGTGCTCAGGCAGTGGTGGGGGCCCCAAGCTGCTTGGTCTCCCCCTTTCCCTGGCCGGGGGCTGGCCTATTCCATCTTGAATGACTGTGGGGTGGAAGGAACACAGTGGGATGTTCACAGTGAGCATCTCCAGCCATCGGAGACAGACCTTGGGCCAGGCCCTGCAGACCCCAGGAACCACTTATGAAGGATGAAACAAGGAAAGCAGTCTCCCTCCTGACACCACTATAGCTTACAGGAAACAGCTGTGTACCTGGGTGAGGTGCTCTGCTGGGCGGGCGGCCAGTTCCCGGGCCTCACCTCCCTGTCCAGTATCCAAGGCCCCCGAGGAAGCAGGGGATGGCGTGGGAGAGTGGGGCGGTGCGGGCAGCTAGCTCACAGAGTGCTGCCAGGAGCTGTTTGTGAGGGAACGTGAGCTGGCCTTGTTGTGTACACAGTGTGGACCCTAGCAACCGCCCCAGCCAGAGCCAGAACAGACACCCACCCTCCCGAGTGCCCAGCCACCACCCCCTAGACATGACGCCTGCCTCCTCGGGGGTGTGTGGCAGGTGTTGTGGACCTTCAGCTGTGAGGGCCACGAGTGGCGCTGACCACGCCAGGGACATCTGCTGTTGTTCCCAGGAAAGTGGAATCAGCTATTCAAGGGGGAGGAGGCCAGGTCCCAGCCTCACCCCAATTCAGCCGTGGCTGGTCAGGGAGCTGGGTTCAGAGGTGTGGCCCCATGGGACAGATCCCCATGTGAGTGACGGGTGGAGGCCTCCGCAGGCATGAGGCCATCCCAGATGAAGGTTCTCCACTGGGCCCAGCTCCAGTGGGCCAGCAAACCAGGCAGAAGGAGCCTGGGGGCTTGGGCAGGACCCCTTACAACTCGGGTGGGGTCTGGCAGGTCCGTTTGCCCCATGTATGCTGCCAGAGGGATCACACATCCTGCACTTTGAAAACCAGCGCTGTGCTTCTGAAACGGCCCTTCGGATTCAGGCCATTGGAAAGACGATTTCTCCTCTGTCCGGGCGTCAGTTTGCAGCCTCTGGCCCGTGCCCCAGGAACGCAGTCTTTGGCTGATAAGAAATGGTTCCCCAGGGTGGGTGAGGGGCCTCCCCCACAGGCTCTGGGCTCCAGGTCTGCCCCATACTCTCTTGCTCATTCACAAACAGTACAAGTAAACCAGCAGCGCCCCCCCCCGCCCCCACTGAGTTCAAGGGGGCACATCCCCACAGGGCACGCTATTGGGCTTCTGATTCTGCTGTTTTGGGTGGAGAGACACCTGGCTCCTTTGAGTATCTGAGTCACAGGGTCCCACACCCTCTGGATTGATGCCATTGACCCCATCACTTGGTTCCTTCCTGGTCCCCCTGAGGTGGCATTCTTCATGATGTACTCTGGAGGGCTTCAGGCCCACATTATAGCTGCTGGCTTCTCTTTCAGCTCCAGCTCCAGAAGTCTCAGTACCTGCAGCTGGGCCCAAGCCGTGGCCAGTACTACGGCGGGTCCCTGCCAAACGTGAACCAGATTGGGAGTGGCACCGTGGATCTGCCCTTCCAGGTGAGCCCCCATCCCCCCTCTCCTGCACAGCCTCCCACCTGGTGTACATCATATCCGGGCCCCACTCTGGACACAGAGCGAGCAAGCGTGTGTGTCAGCCGCTGCGGATAGCTGGAGTCACCAAATAATTGTCGCAGCCTGTCTCGCCCTGCCCCCACCTACTCTTTTCCTGTCCCTGGGATGGCTTGGTCAGGCCTTGCCTGGATCCCCCCTGCTTCTCCCCTGTCAGCAGAGCCCGCAGCGAGGCTGTGGTCTGGCCAAGAGCGTTTCGGCAGCCGCTACACCTGTTGGCCGGCTGTGCGGCATCGGGAACCGCTCGGGGCCTCTGGGGCTTGGCTCCATCCTGCCTCACTAATCCGCAAGCCCAGCAATTCTCAGAAGGAGGCCCTGTGGCCTGACCCCACTTGTCTGCAAACGTTTCTTGGCAGAGACGCACACAACACGGCTCCCGCAGGCCACACAGCCGCCGTGTACGTCCTTATCATAAATAATGAGAGATAAGGCCCACCGCGTGGGTGCAGGGCTGGCCTCTTACCCCAGGCTGTGCCCTGACCCTGGTCTGCAAGTGGAAGCAGGGGTGAGATGAGCCTGGAAGTGGAGCTGAGAGCCGGGGCCACCCCCAGCTTATGTGGGCTCTGTAGGGACAGGTCCACCAGACGGCCACACACCTACCCCTTTGCTGGGACAGGGCCTCAAACAGCCACGTCTGTCCATGTGTTGACAGGCCAGGTGGAGCGAGGCCTGTCCCTCATGGAGCTCAGTCCCCCCACCCACTCGAGTCACTCCCTAGCTCCCACTCCTCCCATACCATTGCTGGGGTGCAGCAGGGCACTGGCCTGGGGTTCCCTAGACTGGCTCAGGTCCACATCCCTTGGGCTCTTCAGAGCATAGCCCTTCCCAGATGGCCTCCTTGCCGGAGCAGACGTGTGGGGCTGTTGTGCTGATTCTGAATATGCTCCAAGAGCCTGACCTCTTTGTCAAGGCCCTTCCTAGTTTGAGTTTTCTCCCCTTCTCCTGCCTCTCCCCTTCCTGTTTCCCCCATCCCCTTCTCCATCATGGAGGGCATCTCTCTGGGCACCCCTCCCCCAGCACGGCCCTGGCTAGGGCTGGCGTAAAGCCCCCTTGGGCCAAGGGTATACTGGGGCCTGTTGGGCATCCTGCTGGGGGGCCGGACGAGGCAGGAGTGTCTCAAAGTCTCGGTTCTTTGCATTTTCAGCCCAGCGGATATCTGGGGGAGGCCCTGGCAGCGGCTCCTGTCTCTCTGGTAAATGAGCCCCTGGGCTGAGGCCTCGGCGTCCCTGGCACGTGCGTGGGTGCTGGGTATCCTTGCGTGGTCGCCCCAGTGGCCTGGCGGGAAGTGTCCTGTCTGCCAAACGGAAGTGGATCTGCTCTGCACCTCCCCCTGCCCTGTATGGGGGGGGGGGGGCGGAATGTGTGTGGTTGCGCCGAGAGCTCCCCCACTTCCCCCACCCCACCCCTGCCTAGGGGATCCGAGCATGGGCGTCAATGCTGCATGGTTCGTTCTCGTGACACATGCACATACAAGTGTGTGTGTGTATCCTAGGTGCAGCCTGGTAAGCTGGGCTGTGGCTGGGCCCGAGCTTCTCTCTGCCTCTGGCTCTGCTTCAGCTGCCTTGGTTTCCCCTCCGGCCTTCTAGGCATCTCTGGGAGGAGATGGACAGCCCCTGCCCTCCGGTGTTTGTGCCTGGATGGTAGGGTTCCCACCTTCCCTCAGTCCCTGAAGTCTCCAGGCCCAAGGCCTTTTTGGAGGCAAAAGTGCAGAAAGACCCAAGCCGGCAGGGCCCTTTCTGTGTCAGAGAGGGACAGGGGGCCCCAGACTCCAGGGAGAACAGTCAGCCCTGAACACTGGGCCAGGTGTTTGGATGGGTAGGGAAGAGCAGTGATTCCAGCCAGTGGCAGTCTTCTGGAAGGAAATTGCTTTTGCCTGGCAATTTTTGCCCAAAGAAGACAGAAGGGCCCAAGGGCCAGATGGTGGGGTTTGGAGGGGACCGGCTGCCTCCAGAGCTGGCAAGCGGCCCCATGGCACCAGGATAGGCAGGGAGCAGGCTCCCAGGAGCCCCAGTGGCATGGAGCAGAGGGAGCAAGGGCTGGCCGGAGGCCTCGTGCCAGCCCCAGGTGCTGGAAGGGAGCCCCTTCCGGCCAAGCTGTGGGCCAGGGCTCTGGAAAGTGCTTATGCTTGGCTCCAGTGGTGAAGGGATGAGATGGTGGGGGAGAATGTGGGGGGCTCATCTCAAATCAAGACCAGCCAGGGCTCAATAAGGAGCCTCCGGGGAGCCAGCACTTGGCCAGGTGGGCCCCTTGACGTCCTCGGCTGGAAGCCCTGGGGGCTGTCTTTTGGCAGGCCCCTCCAGGGATGACGTAGGTGGGAAGAGGAGGCCAGCCAGGCCCAGAGAGAGAAGGCGGAGGCCTGTCTGCACCTGGCAAGGCTGGGGGGCGCTTGGGCCGTCTGCACCCCTGGCACCCCAGCCGGCACCGGGCCCCGAGCTTGTGCTGCTCTGCCTGGCCCGTGCATGCCAGCCGCACTGCACGCCTGCCGCCCGGCATCCAGGATTCCCAGCTCTCCCCTACCCCGGCAGTGCTCAAAGGCTGGGGGCCCTGGCTGCAGGAGGAAGCCTGTCCAGGCTGCAGAGTGGTGACAAAGGGTGTTTCAAGAGTGGGGGGCCCTGAGGTCAGATCCTGGGGGCAGACCTGGGTTGGATCTCAGATCACAGCTGATAACTGTTTGGGTTTCTCTCTCTTTTCTGGTCTCCTCCCCTCCCCCTCCTCGCCCAGACACCCTTCCAGTCCTCAGGCCTGGACACCAGCCGAACCACCCGGCACCACGGGCTGGTGGACAGAGTATACCGAGAGCGTGGCCGGCTTGGCTCCCCACATCGCCGGCCCTTGTCAGTGGACAAACATGGACGGCAGATATCTTTTACCCAGAGGATGGGGGTGGGACTGTTGGTGACTATAGGACCTGGAGTCTCACTGACTGAGCCTCCAGCCTTGGAGCTGGAATAAGGGCTGCTCCAGCCCCCCAGGATTCCCAGGCAGCACCAGGAGAGGGCGCAGTTGAGGGCCACTCTGGAGGAGGCAGGGTGGCTAGCTGGAGGCCTTTGACTAGGACAGGGGCACACAGGAAGCAAGATTGTTGGAGCGCGCAGCGTGCCGTGAGGGTTGGGGAGGGTCAGGTCAGACCACACTGTGTCCGCAGCCTGGCTGGGCAGTGGAACCCAGAAAGGCTGTGAGCAGCGTGTTCACATGTCGGGGCTATGTGGAGGGTAGCCAAGCCCAGGCAGCAGGGCTGGGGTGGGGGTCTGAGCCAGACCCAGACAGATCCAAGGGAGGCTCCATCTGAAGATGAAGAACTCTCCTCTGCACCTTGGCCAGGCAGAGATTGTCGGGACTTTCTCCCCCACCCCCAAGTCCCAAGACTTGGCTGCTCCTTGGTACTTGGCCAGCCAGGCTCCTCCATCAAGAAGAGTCTAAGTGGCTGCTCTCTGGAACCCCCTGCCACTCTCAGCATTCTAGAACAGAGAAGCCTGTTACTTCCCAGTTCTCAATTTACGTGGCTGGGGCAGCCCAACCAGCTGGGCCCCAGACAGAGCCCTCGGGCCTGGGGAGCTGCCCTGTCAGCCTAGAATTAAAAGTCAAGACCCAGGTCAGCTGAACTAGACTCCCCACTGCCCCCCATGGGCCCCAATTTCACAGGCGAGGCCCCTCTTGGAAGGGGTGCAGCCCGCACGTGTGCTTGCAGGGGGTGAGTGCTGAGTGCTAGGTGGACAGGGCCGAACCCCGGGGGCTGCTTGCAGCCAGGCAGGAAAGGCCCCCGCCCTGCGGCCCCAGCTGTTTGCAGGCTCCCAGCAGCCTGGCCACGAGGTTCCTGGGGCTCGAGGTGGGGCCTGAGCCAACAGTGCTGTCCCCTTAACTCACACTCAAGCGGACAGCTGCCCATACGGCACCGTGTACCTCTCGCCGCCCGCGGACACCAGCTGGAGAAGGTCAGTGACCCAGAACCGGCCCTCAGCCCTCTTGGAAAGAAAAACAAACTTACATCATGCTTGTGCTTGGAAAACCAATATACAGTCACTTTAAAATGACAGAACTAAGAAGTATCCAGAAGTTTCTAGAAATCAACTCTATCCCTCTAACACCAAGGTCATAGCTTTGGAGTCTTCCAGGGATTTTTTTTTTTTTCTTCCATGATTTTTTTTTCTTTTATAGACAGAGTTGGGATTAGGTTGGATATTCAGTATCGTAACTTGTCTTTTTTCATGTATTATTATATTATGAGTAGTTTCCCACATTTCTGAACAGTCATTGAAAATGTGATTATAAAAGTATTATACATTTATTACCAGAAGATTAAGAATACATATAAGTTTACCTAGAAGGGGGGAAAAATTGATAATACCATTTTCTACAAAGATCTAGAATAACAACATAGTTAATACCTATAGTAAATAGCAGGATGGTTGCACACCATCCTGCTATTTACTTACACCAGAAGTGTATACTTAAAAATGGTTAAAATGATCATTTTTATGTTACATATATTTTACCACATGTGAAAAAAATATAGGTGATTTCACCAAAGATCAAAAGTAAGTTGTTTATAAAATGCATATATGTATATATATATATGTATACATATATGAACTATCATATGTAATGTATAATTTAATAATTAATTAAATTCCTACCATACACGTATTATATATCAGGCCCTATTTCAGCCATCATATTCATTAACTGATATAAAATGCACAGAGCTTTGTGGAGTAGGTACTTTTATTCTCCACATTTTAGATAGAAGGAAAGTGAACACAGACGGGTCAGAATACTTGTTCAGGGACACACAGCTGGTGGGGGTCTAGGATCCGGATCAGCTTCTCACTGCCTGTCTGGCCCCAGGGTCAGAGAGTCAGCTGGCCCAACCCTTTGTAACCTGCTCTTCTCGAACTTTCTTCCATGTCACTTTCAGTGGCTGGGATGTCCCTTTTGGATTCATACTGCTCTTATTTCATGCCCAAATTGCCAGTCACGTGGCTGGACTTGCCCTTTGTTCATCTGCCCAGCTCCCCTGGGGTGCCCACAGTTCCCTGGGGACCTGAGGAGCTCTTCTGGGGATCTTCTCTCCAGGCACCTGCAGCTGGGAGTACATTGAATTACTCTATTCCTGATGCAGAAGGCAGAACTCTTGGCAGCCCTCCTGCCACACCCCTTCCCAGGGACTGCATTCTTTCTGGGTAGTACTCTGAGCCTCATATCACTGCCTCCCCTTCTCATTACACCTGGTTTGCAACTGAGCATCCTGGGGCAGGGGGCAAGGTTGCCCACTGGTGTTTGTCACCAAAAGGGGACCCAGGGCTGGGACTTGTACTCCCAAGGCTGGGCCACCTTGGGACCATGGGGTCCCCTCTCCAGAGAGTTTCAGCAAGAAGGCACCATCCTTTCTCCCAAAGCAGAGAAGCCCACAGACCGTATGGGAGTGGGGAAGGTCTGGTTAGTAATGGAGAGACATCTCTTCTGCAGTTTTTTGTGTTTACCTGGCTTTTTAGATGAAAATCATGGTCACTCCTGTGGCCCTTTTGAGAACACTGTCCTTAGCGTTTTATGCAAAACAGCTCACACATATAACCCACTATTCCCACCCTGTCCTGTTCAGCATGTCATGGATAGAGTGGGGCCAGGACAATTCCATTGTCCACTTTGGAGCCAAGGCTCACTGTCTCTCTTCTCTCCTCAGGACCAATTCTGACTCTGCCCTGCACCAGAGCACAATGACACCCACCCAGCCAGAGCCCTTTACAGGCGGGTCCCAGGACGCACACCAGAAAAGAGGTATTGGCAGGGCACATGGGTATTTTTCCTCGGTTCAAGCGAGTCCAGTGGGTGGTCCCTGTGCTCCCAGAGGTCACAAGCTCATAAGTGGACAGATCTGCAAAGGCAGGGTCAGTGGGTGCTACTGTGGGACAAGGGGAGTGGCTTGAAAATTTTCAGAGATGATGCTGCCTGAGTTGGGTTTTGAAGAGCGCATAGGAGTTTTCTAGGCAGAGAAAACAGCTCCTGCAAACACATGTTGGCTTCCATTCATGAATTCAGGGCATGGTCACATAGTATGTGGGCCTTCCTGGCTCTTTCATTGTAGGGGGCAGCAAGCCCAAGCAAAAAGGAGGCATTTATCAACTCATGACCAAGCAGTCCAGAGCCAGATGTTTAGGTGCAACTCAATCTAGGACTTCCCACTGGACCATTTTCTGGCTCTGCAGCTCATAACCCTCCTTGTTCACAGACCCTGGGCCCCTTCTGCCTACTGTGGGGGGAAATGGGGCTGGTTCTTTCCCACCTCTTGCTTAGTCTCCTCTCTAAGTGAGCTCTGCACATGCAGAGTGGTAGGGCTGTCCACATGCCATCTTCCAGGGATCACTGCTCATCGGACGGGAAGGTGAGATTATAGAAGGAACTGTCTCTATAATAAAAGTGCTGATTCCAAATGCCCCAGGAGTGAAGAGGACAGGGCACCTGGTGCTTTCCTCTTCCCTCCTCTTTCCAAAACTGGGAGCAGATCTGAGGATACTGTCTCCTTGGTGGGTTCCCCAAGAAAATGGGACTTTCAAGATAGGCTTTCCAGGGCAAGTGTCATTGTCCCTTGGGACTCTGTGACCATGGAGGGGAGCTGCAACCCAGGGGCCCTTGGCCGCTCAGAGTCCAGTTGTCCTTGAGGTGGAGAGAGGGGAGACATGTCACTGCCCTTGTTTCTTTAGGAGGGACCCAAGCAGTGACAGGGTGGGGAGTTAGCCTGGCTTCCCTCCCACCTGCTACAGTTGGTCTCTCTAGGTTTTAAGGAGTTGAGCAGCCCCAGTGGCGCAGCGGTTTAGCGCCACCTACGGCCCTGGGCGTGATCCTGGAGACCCGGGATCGAGTCCCATGTCGGGCTCCCTGCATGGAGCCTGCTTCTCCCTCTGCCTGTGTCTCTGCCTCTCTCTCTGTGTGTGTCTCTATGAGTAAATTAAAAAAAAAAAAAAAAAAAAAGAGTTGACCCATCTGCCTGTGGTCAGTATGGCTCTATTGCAAGTAAAAGACTAAACCTCCAAGAGGCAGAAAGAAACTGGGTCTCATAAAGAAAATGTTTAATCCCACCTTAACCAAAAGGTCCAAAGAAAGGGGCCTTCAGGCACACCTGGTTCCAGGGCCTTAAAGGATGCCTGTCTAGTTCCTCAGACCTTCCCTCCCCTCCTCTCCTCCTGTGGGGCTGGCTGGCATTGCAACTAATTTGCTACAATGAATAGATCAACCAGCCCCACACTGACATTGAACATCATGGGCTAGGAGGCAGGTGACTCCAAGGTGGTGGGTGGGGCAAGGAGGGAAGGAGGATTTCTTTGCTGTTCTCTGCAACTTGAAGGCCTCCAAGGCCTGGGTTGGTCCCATGGGCGGCAGAATTGATACATGTCCTCAGCTCCAGGGCTCCTATTTTCATTTCTTTTTTTTTTAAGATTTTATTTATTTATTCATGATAGACACAGAGAAAGACTGAGACACAGGCAGAGGGAGAAACAGACCCCAATGTGGGACTCCATCCCAGGACCCCAGGACCACGCCCTGGGCCAAAGGCAGGCGCTAAACCACTGAGCCACCCAGGGATCCCCATATTTTTTTTTAAAGATTTATTTATTTATTTATGATAGACAGAGAGAGAGGCAGAGACACAGGAGGAGGGAGAAGCAGGCTCCATGCCGAGAGCCCGACGCAGGACTCAATACCGGGACTCCAGGATCACGCCCTGGGCCAAAGGCAGGCGCCAAACCGCTGAGCCACCTAGGGATCCCCGGGATCCCCATATTTTCGTTTCTTTTTAAGTCACAGGGTCTCTGACTTATTTATTTTTTTAAGATTTATTTATTTCACAGAGTATGCATGCACTTAAGCAGGGGCAGGGACAGAGGGGGACAGGGAGAGAGAGAATCCCAAGCAGACTTCCCACTGAATGCAGAGCCCAACTTGGGGCTCAATCCCATAACCCTGAGATTATGACTTGAACTGAAACCAAGAGTCAGACACTCAACTGACAGAGCCACTGACTTATTTTAAGTGTTTTTGTTTTGCTTTGAATCAAATTCTTTCTTGTGCTTTAGTGCAATCCCCAGAAGTTACTGTTGGGGCAGTTACATTTGTGTCAGGATTGTGACTGTATATGTCAAAGGAGCTCTTCGCTTGGTGCGACATAGCTTCAAAGTAAAAAGGTTCTGATTATCCTTCTCTCCCCCACCCCACCCCACCCTAGTCTTACTATTAACAGTTCCAGGAATGGAGGAAACCACATCAGAGACAGATAAGAATCTTTCTAAGCAAGCATGGGACACCAAGAAGGTAAGAGTCTAAGGGCTTTCAAAAACAATTTTCCTTCTTGATCTTTTTTTTCAAGCATAGCCTGGCCGAAAGTGACAAAATAGCACATCAGGGGAGTTTTGCCTTCCCTGAAGTGTGAACCTCACTCAGATGACCAGTTGTATCGGCCTATTTAACATGGATGATAGGCTTGTTACACTGGCAGAAACCATGAAAAGTTAAAATACTTGTTTTCTTTGGCAGCACATATACTAAAATTGGAATGATATAGAACTTAGCATGGCCACTGCACAAGAATGACACACAAATTCATGAAATGCTCCATATTTTTATGTGTGGTATTGGCTGTTAACTAGACTTACTATGGAGATCATTTCACAATATATGCAAATACTGAATCATAATAACCGAAGACTAATACAATATTATAGGTCAGTTATAGCTTAAAAAAAAAGTTGAAGCTCTGGAGATTTAAGTGGTTTGTCCAAGGCTGTAAAGATACTCAGGGTTTAGAACCTATACCTCCTAATTCGTAACCTTTGATCTGCTAACCCATAGTATTGGGTAATTGTCAGTGTTTATACATGTTGACAGTCATCCTTAAAGTTACATTCATCTGGGATGCCTGAGTGGCTCAGCGGTTGAGCATCTGTCTTTGGCTCCGGGTTTGATCCCGGGGTTCCAGGATCGAGTCCCGCATCGGGCTCCCTGTGAGGAGCCTGCTTTTCCCTCTGCGTATGTCTCTGCCTCTTTCTGTCTCTCATGAATAAATAAATAAAATCTTAAAAAAAAAAACTTATATTCATCTGCCCAATAACTACAACTTTTATTAAACTACAAAGTCTACTTGGAATTTCCAATTGAATTGGAATTTCTGTATTATTTCCAGGTCCAGAAACAAATTTCTCACGTTCTAGAATACAGATTTCAAAGAATTTGAATAGTACAGAATGCACTTAGCACTAAAGTTATTTTAAATTAAAAAAAAAATACCTACAACCTGTTGCTGGTCAAGTTGTGGTGAATGGGGCAACAACATGAATTGTTCATACCCCTCCAGGAAATCGTCAGGAGGTGACAAATGAGCACACACTGATGTGTTCCTCAAACGTGTGTGTTCAGAGCTTTTAAAATCAACTGGAAACAACCTGAATGTTCAACAGTGGGGGAGTCATAAGGAAATTATCCTCAGTCCCTCATACGGAAAGCTCCACATATGTGGAGTTGGGATTTTTTTGTTTAAGATTTTATTTATTTATTCATTAGAGACAGAGAGAGAGAGAGAGGCAGAGACACAGGCAGAGGGAGAAGCAGGCTCCAATGCAAGGAGCCTGACATGGGACTCAATCCTGGGACTCCAGGATCATGCCCTGGGCCGAAGGCAGACGCCAAACCTCTGAGCCACCCAGGGATCCCTTTTTTTAAAGATTTTTATTTATTTATTCATGAGAGATACAGAGAGAGAGAGAGAGAGAGGCAGAGACATAGGCAGAAGGAGAAGCAGGCTCCATGCAGACAGCCCAATGTGGGACTTGATCCCAGAACTCTGGGATCATGCCCTGAGCCGAAGGCAGATGCTCAACCGCTGAGCCACCCAGGCATCCCATGGAGTTGGGATTTTTTGTTTGTTTGTTTTAATGTAGGCCCCATGTCCCAATTCAGGGCTTGAACTCTTGACCCTGAGATCAAGACTTGAACTGAGATCAAGAGTCAGATGTTTAACTGACTGAGGCACCCAGGCACCCCTAGAGTTGGGATTTTTGAAGGAATTTTAAAGGCATGAGTGACACTCCTCCCATCCAAACACTAACCAGGCCTGACCCTGCTTAGCTTCCGAGATCAGATGAGATCGGGTGTGTTCAGGGTGGTATGGCTGTAGAGGTCATGAGTGACACTCCTGATAATACAATGTATGGAAAGAACAGGATAAAGCTATTTAGAAAGGCATACAAAATTTAGAATGGACATTTTATTGCACTTTTCTTTATTGTGCTGTGGTTTTTACAAGTTGAAGGTTTGTGACAATCCTGTGTTGAGCATGAGTATCAGTGTGATTTTTCCAACAGCAATTTTCTCACATTGTGTCTCTGTCACATTCTGGTGATGCTCACAGTTGTTACATTTTTTTCATTATTATTATTTTTGTCTTGTGATGTTTGATCAGTGATTACAACTCACCAAAAGCTCAGATGATGATCAGCATATTTAGGAATAAAGTAATTAAGGTACATAAGGTTTTTTTTTTTTGTTTGTTTGTTTTTTAGACATACTGTTCTTGTATACTTCAATTGAGGGATAGGGTAAACATAACTTTTATATGCACCAGGAAATCAAAAATTCATTTGACTTTACTGGGACATTTGCCTTATTGGGGTGGTCTGGAACTGAACCCACAGTATCTTCAAGGTATGCCTGTCTATACCCAGATGCCTAGGGAGACCTGCAAGGGGGGGCGTGTTGTCTTGCGTGGCAGGTGTGGGTGCCACCAACAGCCCTAATCCCTGTCTGCATGTTCCAGTTTTACACAGGGAATACAGATGATTTTCATATTCGGGGGAAAAACTCACTCAAAAAGAATTCTAACAACCCCAACAAAACTGAAAAGCAATTGAAATATGTAGTTGCAGAGGGATGGATAAGGACAGACATCAGGGTCCTTATGAGTAGCTGTATGTGCTGCTGAGCCATATAGTGAAGATGGTGAGTGTTGGTGCAAACACACTTGACATCCTGGGAGTGAGAAAAAGTTGGCAGGACCCAGCATTGTGGCTCAACTTCTAACTAGTATGTGAAATGATGTGTCTGCAAGATGTCAGTAAAGGAATTCCATTGGATTTGTTGGGAGTGGGGTGAGGCTGGGGTTGGGGGGCAATGATGGGTGAATTTTTAATACTGTTTAGAAATCTACTGTTATCTCCATAATGTTCATGGAATGCTTTTGAAAAGATTCTTTAGAAAGCATTGTCATCAAGCTTTGCAAAAATCCGGTAATGAAGTGAGTGTTTACTCACAGAATTAAGGAGTCCGTGGCCAAGTAGAAACCCGTTCCTCTGGCATTCTCTGCAGAGGCTTAACACTGCTGGTCACACACCACCCCTCAGCTTCCTCAGTCACTGCCAGCACACCACCTTTCACCACCGCGCGCACGCTAGGCATGCACAGAGAGGCCGCCAGCCCAGCCCTCTGCCGTGCATCTACCTTCTTATGTCTGGTAATCCTTAAAGAACACATCAGCCTGAGGGCCTGCAAGGCGAATGGGGAATTACGGAATGTGACACAGCTGGAGCCCTCCATCAGCACGTAGGCCCTGTCCAGTCATGTCTGCCACCATCTGAAGAGTACCCTCCTTTGTCCTTGAATGAGCATTTAGGGGGTCTACCTAAAGCCTGCAGTTCTCCGGTGGCATCATGGCCCCAGCTCGAGAGGAGGAAACGAGGGCCTTGCTGCCGGCAGGGTTTCCCTGGGACCCTTTCCATAGTCCACAGGGCAGCCAGAGCCTTCACCCTCAGGTGGTGAGGGCATGGGAGCACATACAGCACCATGGGTCCCTGTGGGAGCCATAGCTGAGGGACCACTGGTAGGTGGATCAGCTAGGGGCATGGACAGCGCCCTCTGTATCTTTATGCTGCCCCACATGAGGTACTTGTCTACTATACACAAATCGATGCTGAGCAGAGGCAGCTCTGTTCCCAGGAGCCCTACTGGCTCTGATCCAGAAATGGAATGGATTGGCCTCAGGGTGCCAGGGTTTCCAGTGGCCCCATTGCTGAGCTGGTGTCTAACAGCTGTGGCATGCCCCTGGGGTTTTCAGGTGTGAAGAGTGGACAAGCCATGTTCTTCCCAAATGCCTGCTCTGACAAGGGACTATGTCACCCCTCTGCTGTGTCCACCTTAGGGGCAGGCAGAGCTAGGCTGGGATGTGCCTGCCTGCCTGCCACCAAGGTCAGGAGCTGGAGGTGGGAGCTGTAGAGGCTCCTCTTCATAGAAGACTTGGTTTTGCCCCTAGGCATGTCTGGGACAGGTCCCTTTGCCTTCAGGGCCACCTGGTTCTGGTTTGTGAGACATTCTGGGACCTGATAAACTCTCTTTTTGTTGAGCATCTTCAGCCCTTCTGGTAGAGTCAGCTGCGCCCTGAGGAGCTACAGTGCACCAAGAGGTCTGCTCAGCCTCTGCTGTCTTCTCTTTCAGACGGGGTCCAGGCCCAAGTCCTGTGAGGTCCCTGGGATCAAGTAAGTCTCAGCAGGGCCCACCCTGCATGCCCAGGGCTCTTGGGGCTGTTCAGATGACCCCAGGACTTCCCGTCCGCTCAGGAGGCTGCAAGTCCTGAAAAGAGGGCTGCCCTACCACTGGCAGCTATCCAACAAGCCTCGTCCGGGGCCGAGGGGTGTTGGGGGGTGCAGGGGAAAGGGGCCCACCTACCCCTCCCTGCTTGCGGTAACTGAGACACCCACACACACACATTCAGCCCCAGCTCGAGAGCTCATCAGATACACCCTGTCCCCTGGGCAGCAGGAGGACCCTCACCCCAGCCCCCTATCTTGCATAGAGGTTGCTTCCTAATGTCCCCTTGGAGGTGCAGGTTGACAGTCATTTCTGATCATGGCAGCACCTAATCTCGGGGTACCATTTTATGTCCCCTAGTGTTTTGGCACACTCTCCCCCCACCCCCGCCATAGTTTCTAGGGGAGAATGGGCCGGGGCGAGAGCTCACCTCCCCCCTCTGTCTGGCCTTCCCCCCAGCATCTTTCCATCCGCTGACCAGGAAAACACTACAGCCCTGATCCCCGCCACCCACAACACAGGGGGCTCCCTGCCCGACCTGACCAACATACACTTCCCCTCCCCCCTCCCGACCCCACTGGACCCTGAGGAGCCCACCTTCCCTGCGCTCAGCAGCTCCAGCAGCACCGGCAACCTTGCAGCCAACCTGACTCATCTGGGCATCGGTGGCGCCAGCCAGGGTAAGGCCAGGCCAGACGGTGGGAGAACTTCCTTCCCTGGCAGAGCTCAACATCTAGTGAAGATGACAGATGGGTTTGAATGGTGATTTAGCAGGGTGACATCTAGAGTACTGGGCATGGAATGGGAGGCAGAACCTACCACAGGGGCTTGGCATTTCAGGTAGAAGGCACAGCCTTGGCAAAGGCCTAGGGGGTGGGAAAACTCATGAGGTCCCCAGGAATCAGACAGTGGTTCTGAGGGTATATTGGGGGCTTCAGAGAGTCGGGGTGAGTCCAGAACATTCTAGGAGGGGAGCCCCCAAGGGTTTGACCAGCATTCCCCCTGCCTCCCCTTGTCTTCAGCTCTTCCCAGAGGGACAGAACCAGTCCTGACCTGCTCCCTCCACACACCCTCCCACCCAGTGGTTAATGATGTCCATCTGCTTGGGACACACCAGCCATGTCCATGGGAATATCCCACGGGCCCCTCACCGTCCTAATGTCTCCCAGGATGTGCTGCCTGCCCACCCACATCTGTGTGAAGCAAAAAATTAGAAGGTTGGCTCTGGGGATGCCGGTGGGAGGGCCTCCTTGTGCTGCCCCAACCCTGCTCCCCTGGGGACGAGCAGTACTGTTTTCCAGTGGCTTGATTCCTGTGTTCTCTTGCCTGCCCTGACCTGTTGATGCATCCTGTCAGCCCCAGAATTAGGACCCGACCCAACTTGGACCCACTCCACTTTGCATGGCCTCCACCTGCCTGCCCCCTACCCGACCCTCCAACTCCCAGCCTTTTCTTACCTGGAGTGGCTATCGCCTCATGGATGTTGTCTGCTTGGGACCTTGCAGTGGTCCTCAGCTCCCTCCTGTTGAAAACCTGAGACCCCTGGGGCTTGGGAGGCCCACTTTATCCTCCAACTTGGTCTCCCGTCCCCACCCCTACCCCTGCGCCCCCCCCCCCCCCAATCTCCTCTGCAGCCAGTGAGCTCATCTCAGGACCTTGGCACATGCTGCTCCTCTCTTACAGTCCTTCTCTTCCTCCAGGTGGCTGCAGGACCCCCCGCCCACTCCATGCCCACTTATACCTCTTTTTCTCCATGAGCCGTCTTGGCTCCCTGCCTACACACCCTCACCCCCAGTCTCACCCCGCATTGCTTTGCTGCATTCACTCTGCTGCTCTTGAGTCACTGCTTTGCTCTCATCTGTTCCCGGGCCAGGCCTACCTCTCCTGTGTCCCCTCTATGACCCCTATATCCCCCCTGCCATGTTTCTTGCACCCATGTTGATGTAGAATGTGCGGATTTGCATCCAGGAAGGAGATAGGGCAGCCCCGACAGCCTTGTGGTGGGACAGGCAGGATGGGCTGTGGGGGGCTCCTCTGTGAGTCCACACATGTCAGGACTTGGCAGCCAGTGAGAGCACCACATTGCTGTGCCCTCCATCCTGCCTGGGAGCCAATGCTCACTCTGTCCATCTGCCTGTCACACCTCTGCCCCAAGTTTGGTGGGCAGCACCATGCAGGATTTTCTGAGGGAGAATCACATGCTCAGATTCCCATTGGCCACAGCCCATGTGGCTGCCTGAGGAGAATGGACCATCAGGAGGGGCAGCGGCGCCAGGGCAGGGCCCCATCGAATGCTCTAGAGAGACTTGCCAGTAAGGTTGGCTGGCCTGAGAGTTGGGTTAATGTGGGGAGCAGAGGAACTTGAGGAGCTTGGAGTCATTCCTGGCTTTGGTGCTGACAGGGCCAGAGGCAAGTGAGGGTTGTTGAGGATGGTGCAAGTGTTTCTCAGTTTCCAGACAAGGAAATGGAGGCCAGAACAGTGTGGAGGGAAGCAGGACCCTAGTCTAACAGCACCAAGGCTGTTTTTGCTTTTGCACTGCTGGCCCCAGGCCCACCCAGGCTCAGCCACCAGGCAGAGGGCGCCAGCCCCCACTGTGCCCCTGACCCAGGGAAGGCCTAAAAGACCAAATGAGCAGAGGCAGGGGAGCCTGAGACCCATGACCCCCTGAGATGTGGGTGGGCAGGCAGCACATCCACACAGGCTTGTGCAAAGCAAGAAATCAGAAGGTTGGCTCTGGGGATGCCGGTGGGAGGGCCCCCTTGTGCAGACACCACTGTTTCCTGGCCCCCCATCTTTCTCCTCATGTCTCGCCGTGGCCTCCAGAGCACCACCCCCTCCTCCAGAGGGTCCTTGGCAGCCCCCCAGCGCCCACCCGGGAGCTATGCACCTCTGGCCCATGCCGAGTCTAAACAAGCACAGGAAAACACAACACATGTGAAAGCCATAGACGCAGGAGCAAGCGCAGACCCCGAGCATGGGGCCCAGACCCTGGCCTGCCTGGCTGGGAGCGTCAGCCCCGTAATGTCTGACATGTGTTCAGTTGTTTGCGAACCTGCCGCTCTAGCAGCTCGCCTGGCAGGGGCTTTGCTTTCTGGGCACATTTTAAATCTAGCTGAGCCGCTGGCCCCTGGCACACGTGGAGATCGCCTCCCCGCCCCGCCCCCTGCCCCAGCCCACCCGCCAATCGAATGTGAGCCCTGAGAAGAATGGGAGGCTTCCGCTGCCAGGGAGACAGCGGCCCCTCTCGTCCTCTTAAACATTTGCTGAGGTCGTTTTCCTGGTTGTTGGCCAGAACCTGGAGGAGGGCAGGCCCAGGTCCTCCTCCTGGCACAGCTCTGAGGCCTGCCGGCCCCGCACACAAGGCTTGCGTGCCTCAGGCTGGGCCCCTGCCACCTGGCCTGCCCTCCCCTGGCAGCTCTCCCTGCCCTCCCCAGACTTCCCTTCCAGCTGGCCTCACTCCTTTTCCCAAAGGTGATCCAGGTTGCCAAAAGGAATTCAACAGCAAGGCATCCGTCCACCCTCCTGGCCCAACTGGCCTCTCCTGGGGTGGTGGCCGCCCAGTGTGAGACCAGGAGCTCACTCTGCAGCCCAGCAGAGGATTAAAAACTCCCTTGTATTCTGGATAGACAGAGGCTGGCAGCCCAAGCGCCAGATCCAGCCTACCAGTGTATTTTCTCTGGCCCACAGTTGTGTGCGTGATGTTTGAATCAACATTTAAAAATCAGGAGAGTGCGTTTAAAACTCTGGATTCCTGGCTTCTCTTGAAGAATCAGAAGGCCCAGCAGTGGTGGGTTGAGGTCCTGTGCCTTCACATGGTCCAGTTTGCCACAGGCCCCTATTGCCCCACTGACCCTCTCCTGACATTTGCCTCTGCTGTTTATTACCAAGCCCTGACATCTCCCTGGATGTGGGTGTTTTCAGCCTGAAGGACATAGGAGGCAGTGGACACTCAGAGAAGGAGAGGGAGCAGCCCTGACTGACCCGCCCCCTGCTCCAGCCCACCCGCCAGTCGAACGTGGTCCTGACTCTTCTCTGACCAGGCATCTCCTGGGCTCTTCCTGCTCAGGCTTCTTGTCAAGGTTCCCCCTTGATGTTGCTGTGTCTGCAGCAGCCTGATTCTGGTCCCCAAGGTCTGTGCATAACCTGGAATCTGGGGCTGTGCCTTGGGAGCACTCAGTGGTGCCAGACCCTCCTGAAGTGCCTGGCTAAGTGGAGCTGCCAGGGCGGCCGAGGGGAAGTGCAGGCGTGACCAGGCTTGCTGCACACAGATGACACAGCCCCAGTGAGCAGCTGCCCTGGGTGGAGAGAAGGCTGCCTGTCATCTCCCCTCGGTGTGTGCTGGGTGCGTTCCCACTGGCCTGTGAACCTGCTGTCTCACCCGCTGGAACAAGGTTGATCTGATGCCCTCAGCAGAATGGGCCCAGCTACCCTGGGTGAGTCAGGCTCCTGCATCTGCCTTGACTGCAGGCCAGACTGTCTTCAGAGCCTGCTCCCAGTCTCATTACAGCCCTTGCAGTGAACTCTTGAGGGTGGCTGTTATCATTTCCATCTCAAGGATAAGGAAACCAAGTCTGGGAGATCAGGCCAAGCCCCCAGGGCTCTCCCAAGCATCAGGAGGCCTGTTGCCTCTCTGGCACAGTGCCCCAGGATAACCCAGCAGGTTCCAACTGCTGCCATACTGAACTTGACCTCACTCAGCTCCTTCACAACAGACAGACACATCTAGGGATAGGATTGCTGAGGGCAGGGGCCGAGGTGAGGAAAGGAGCAACATGGAGCCCTCCTGGCAGGGGCTCAGTCAGGAACAGGGGTATTGGAAGAAGGTAAAGAGTAACTGAGTTTCTAGCAGGGCTAATGGTCTAGCATGGAAAGCACATGAGGTGGAGAGATGAAGGGTGGGGGAGGATGTGGACATGAGGTGGGGGAGGGCTGCCAGATACGCTGGTCTGGAGGTGGAAGATCAAGCTGAAGGAGCTGTTACAGGACAGGAAAGTACAACTTTGTTGAAGGATGATAAGGAGAGCATGAGGCTCTATAGAAACTACAGTGTCTGGACAGGACCAGCTTTTTTTTTTTTTTTTTTTTTAAAGATTTAATTTATTTGAGAGAGCATGCATGAGTCGGGAGAAGGGGCAGAGGGAGAACTTGACTTCCCACTGAGCAGGAAGCCTGATATGGGGCTCCATCCCAGAAGATCCGAGATCATGACCTGAGCCAAAGGCAGACACTTAACTGAGCCACCCAGGTGCCCCCAGGACCAGCTTTCTTGAAGCTAACCAAACCCTAAGCTAGTTTAGGTATAAGAAAAGGAAGGGGGATCCCTGGGTGGCGCAGCGGTTTGGCGCTTGCCTTTGGCCCAGGGCGCGATCCTGGAGACCCGGGATCGAATCCCACGTCAGGCTCCCGGTGCATGGAACCTGCTTCTCCCTCTGCCTATGTCTCTGCCTCTCTCTCTCTATCTCTCTGTGACTATCATAAATAAATAAAAATTTAAAAAAATTTTTAAAAAAAAAGAAAAGGAAGGGGGGCGGCATTGATTTTTTTTTTTTAAGATTTTATCTACTTATTCATGAGAGAGACAGAGAAAGAGATAGGCAGAGACAGAAGCAGGCTCCATTCAGGGAGCCCAATGCAGGACTCGATCCTGGACCCGGGGGAATCCTGCCGTGAGTCAAAGGCAGACACTGAGCCACTCAGGCATCCTGAAAAGGCATTGATTATCTTGCAAAACCAGGAAGCACCAGTATGGCTGAATCAGGGGCTCAGGTGCTGCTTTTATCCCTCAGCCCCTGATTCTCCAGCTGGCTCTTCTGCTTGCAGCCATGTGATGCTCCCTCTACACAGTTCCAGACCTCCCCCCTTGAGTTCCATCCAGAGTCCCAGGGCAGGCTCTCATTGGGCCAGTCTGGTCACCTGTCTATCTGGGAGCCAATCATGTGGTGGTCCAGAGACAGGGAAGTGCTGATTGGCAGGGCCTGTGGGAGACACCCCTCTTGGAGAGATGGCAGGATCAGTGGGAGAGTGTTGGGCAGCTTGGGGATGGGTCAGGAAGGAGAGCAGAGCCCACATAGGTATTGAGGCCTTGGAGGGGGCACCATGGCTTTGGTGATCAGGACACAATGGATTCCGTCTGATGGATTGGGCTGTTCTCAGCAGTTATCATGATGTGTGAGCAGCCCTCTGGAGGCTAGCGTCATGCCCACCCTTCTCTCCTGTCCTCCCTTTCAGGGATGAGCACACCAGGCTCCTCACCACAGCACCGCCCAGCTGGTGTCAGCCCGTTGTCCCTGAGCACGGAGGCGAGGAGGCAGCAGGCCCAGCAGGTGTCACCCACCCTCTCCCAGCTGTCACCCATCACTCAGGTGTGAGGGCGTGGTGGGGTGGGGGAGGTGTGGCTGGTTCTGCCCCTTTGAGAGACCTCCCTCTACTTCCTGGGGGCCATAGAAGCCTGAAGACAAAGGTTCCCAACACTTTTGGCTTTTGTCAAATTTCAAACACGGAGAGCATGACTTGCTGGCCTGGAGTTTCCTGTATCTGTTGTGGGCAGATTGTGTGGGTGTTTTTTGTTGTGTTACTTTCCCTCGAGGATCTAGTTGAAATTCTCCAAAATAAAATGTTTAGAGAGGTGGATTTTTTTCTTTTTTCAATTTACCATAATTTTGTTTCATATGCTTTTTTGGTATCTCATGTGTGTCTAGGTATTGGTCTCTTTCATCTACGTTATCCAGTGTGCTGGCATACGACTGTTCATAACACAATCCTTTTTATTTCTCTGACGTCGATAATAACATTCCCACTTTCATTTTTGATTTCAGTAATTTGATTCTTTTTTACTTAGTTTAGAATCATAAAACAGGTTAGGAAGTGTTCCTTCCTGTTTTTTTGGAAGCGTTTGAGAAGCACGAGTGTGAATTCTTTAAATATTTCGTAGAATTCACCAGCAAAGCCACCGGTCTGAGCTAATTTTCACTGAGAGGTTTTCACCTCCACACAACACCCAGTGCTCATCACAAGTGTGCCTCTTAATCCCCATCACCTATGTCACCCATCACCCCACCCGCCTCCCCTCTAGTAACCAGCAGTGTGTTCTTTATAGTCAAGAGTCTGTTTCTTGGTTTCTCTCTCTCACTCTCTCTTTTTCTCCCTTTGCTCATTTGTTCTGTTTCTTAAATTCCACATATAATTGAGATCAAATGGTCTTTGTCTTTCTCTGATTGACTTATTTCACTTAGCATTATACTCTCGGTCCTTCCATGTTGCTGCAAATGGCAAGATTTCATTTTTAATGGCTGAATAATATTCTATTTTATATATATCACATCTTTATCCATTCATCAGTCAATGGATACTTGAGGGGCTTCTATAATTTGACTATTGTAGCTAATGCTGCTATAAACATCAGAGTGTTTGTATCCCCTTGAAATAGTATTTTTGTATTCTTTGGGTAAATACCTAGTAGTGTGATTGCTGGATTGTAGGGTAGTTCTAGTGTTAACTTTTTTTTTTTTTTTGAGACAGAGAGAGAGAGGAGAGAGAGCAAGAGAGCATAAGCAGCAGGAGCAGCTGAGGGAGAGGGAGAAGCAGGTTCCCTGCTCAACAGGGAGCCCAACATGGGGCTTAATCCCAGGACCCTGGGATCATGACCTGAGCTGAAGGCAGACACTTAACAGACTGAGCCACCTGAGCGCCCCTAGTTTTAACTTTTTTGAGAAACCTCCATACTGTTTTCCATGGTGGCTACATCAGTTTGAATTCCCACCAACGGCCCAGGAGTGTTCCCCTTTCTCAGTGTCCTCACCAGCACCTGTTATTTGTGTTTTTTATTTTAGCCATTCTCACAGGTGTGAGGTGAGGTCTCATTGTGATACTGATTTGCATTACCCTGACAATGGGTGATGGTTGAGCATCTTTCCATCTTTGTTGTCTACCTGTATATCTTCTTTGGAAAAAAGACTGTTCATGTCTTCTGCCCATTTTTAATTAGATTATTTGATTTTTGGGTTTTGGGTTTTGTATGTTCTTTGTATGTTTTGGATACTAGCTCTTTATCAGCTGTGTCACTTGCAAATATCTTCCATTGGGAGGTTTTTGATTACTGGTTCAATCTCCTTTCTTGGTATAGATCTATTCAGAATTTCTATTTTTTGGGGGGTCAGTTTGGTAGGTTGTGTGTCTCTAGGAATTTGCCCATCTCATCTTACTTTTTAAAGATCCCTAATATATAACATTTTTGTTGTTTTTTTGTTTCTTTTTTTTTTTTTTTTTAACATAACCTCACTGGCATTATCCACCTCCAACAAAACTGACAGGCATTGCTTCGTATCTTCTGATAGACCTAGGCCCAGTTTCCTTCTACTTGTTCATACCAGGATCTAAATCTGGGCACTATGTCCTCAGTCTCTCCATCTGTGACCCCTATTCCTTTGCTCTTCTCCCTTAGACCTGCTTTCCTTTGCTAGAGACTCCTTTTTTGTTCATAAAGTAACCATCGCTTCTTAGAGGGTGGGCGTTCTGCTAAGAGTTAGATCCTGTAGCTCCTGGTCACATGCAGTCTCCTGTGGAGGCTTCCCTCTAACCAGAGAAAACTTTTCCTCTGTCCAACTCCACGAAGACTTGAGCTGGTCATTACCAAGTGGCCACACCAGCACATGTATCATCCACACCATCTCTAACTCCTCCCTGCTAGGCACAGGCTGCTTGCTGGGTTGCTGGGAGTGTGGCACCCTGGGCTTGCCTGCAGTGAGCAAACTCTGGGTCAGTGAGGCCAGGGACCTCCTGAGCCTGAGGGGGTACAGAAGGTGGGGCCTACCTCTTGGTGTGTGGCAAAGACAAAGGAAAACTTTGTTGGGTGCAGAGCACTTTCAACTGGATTAGAAGTCCAGGCCCTGTCCAGCCACAGGCAAACCTGTTACTCTGGCCCTGGATAAGGCCTGCCCTCTTTAGGCATGTGCTTCCCCTGTCTGGGGTCTGGATGTCCCTTTGTTTATCTGTGACATCTTTGCTGAGTGTGTTAGGCCATAGAGCATCCCTAGGGACCAGGTATTTCACAGTCTGGCCCCTACTGCCTAGTAGCCTCCCACCTGACACCTTCCTCTTCCCCCAGGCTGTGGCCATGGATGCCCTGTCTCTGGAGCAGCAGCTGCCCTACGCCTTCTTCACCCAGGCAGGCTCCCAGCAGCCACCGCCGCCGCAGCCCCAGCCCCCTCCACCGCCACCGCCCGCATCCCAGCAGCAGCCGCCCCCGCCACCCCCGCAGGTGCCCGTCGGCCTCCCCCCAGGCGGCCCCCTGATGCCAAGTGCCAGCTTGACGCGGGGCCCCCAGCTGCCCCCACTCGCGGTCACGGTACCGTCCTCTCTCCCCCAGTCCCCCCCAGAGAACCCGGGCCAGCCGCCAATGGGGATCGACATTACCTCGGTAAGCCTAGGATGGGGTTTTGTGGGGCCTGGCTGGGGGGCTCATGCAGGAAGATCCAGGGAACTGTGGGAGACTCCCATTGGGCTCCCAAGGCCCAAAGGCACTCAGGCATCTGACTGAAGCCTCCTCAAGACTCCACTTGAAGGCCAGGGTGGCCAGGGGTCAGAGCTGAGGCAAACACTGCTGGACTGAGGTCATCCCATGTATAGATGAGGAAGTGGAGACACCAAGCATAGATCCTTTGCCCCAAACTTCACCCAAGACAGGCCACCCTGGATCTGGCTGCCAAGGTTCCCCCATGGCCCCTGCTGTCCAGTACTTCAGCGCTTGCTACTTGCAATGGCTCCCCTGGAGGTGGGGAGGACACAGAGCTCTAGGGCCTGGAGAACAGATTCTGGGAGCCAGAGAGATGGAGGGGAACTTGGAGGGAGAGAAGGGATAAAGCCCCCACTGTGGTTCATGCAGTGCACAGTGCCCTGGGCCAAGAGGGACATTCAACCCATGGGACCCCTTTCCTGGGCTCAGGTTAATGGGTGCTTGGTTTGACTTCTATACCCCAAGCCTTCTTGATTAGACTTTTGCCCTGGTGGGAAGGGGGTGATTACAGCTACCTTGGGCCATATCCAAGGTACGGGGACTATGTTTGGGGTACAGCAAGTCCTCTCCATTCAGCCATTGGCTGCCAACCCCAAGATAAACGTCATCAGAATATCATGTGCTCTGCAAAGACGAGGTCCCCCTGAGCTGGGCAGGTGGGTGAATGGAGACCTGTTTCCAAACCTCTCTGACTCCTTATAGGGCAGACCCCAGGGGTACCCCAGACAGGAAAGTGTGCAAGTTTTTTCTTTGTCAGAAACACAGCTGGTGTGGAGGCAGCTCTGGTGGTGGAGCCTGCCAGGCTACCTCATTCCCTGACACCCTCCAACAGTGGTGCCTCACTTTTGAGCTGGGCAGACAATGGAGGCATGGGTGTTCGGGCCAGGTGCACAGACATTACCTCCCCAGGCTCTCAGGCCAGTGAGTGTGCTGCCCGGCACCCCAACCAGGGACATCTGGCTCCCTTGGGATTGTAGCCTCTTCTTGAGTATCTGCTAGCGCAGGCAAGCAAGAATATCCCTCTGGACATTTTCCTCTTTTCAACTCTGAGAAGCCCCCAGCCAGTCATTGCCTAGTGACTGTGCTGGCACCTCCAAACACTGATACCTTGTTCATTGAGCTCCCATCCCCACCCCCCACCGCCACCCCTCCGGGATAGGCTCAGTCCCTATCCCAGACTACTCAGAACAGGCCACTGAGGAAATGGGGGTGATCAAGCATTTATGGGGCCCTGGGCTAGGCATCCAGACCTCAGTAAACAATAGACCCAGAGAAGTCAGACAGTTTGTCCAGAGGCACACAGTAGGTCCTGACTCAGCCCATCTTGCCCCTGGTGAGAAGCTAAGGCCCTCTGACCTTCAGTTGAGGTTGCTGCCCCTTGGAGGTCTCTGGACAGTGTACCACTCAGGTTTGTCCCAAGTGATGCCAATGATAGTGATTGCCCAGGACTGGTTATTCTGGGGCGTGCCCCAGATGGCCTTTGCTGTTGGTCCCAGCACCCCCTGTGGTGGACAGGATGTGCTAGAGAACAGAGATGGAGCTCAGAGAGCCGAGGGAGCTGCCCAGAGCCGAGGCAGCACCTCCCTGCCCCAGCCTTCCATGCCTGCCTGTGTGTGGGTGTGTTTGTTGTATGTACACACATGTGACTGTGTGCGCATGTATGTGGGTGTGGGTGTGAGTGTGCATTCATGGGGGTTTTCTGAAGCCTGCTGAGTCAAGGTGGATCCCGCCGTCCCCCTCCCACAGCCCTCTGTGTGATTCCGTGAAGCTGAGTTCTCCGACCAATCCCCCCAGCCCTCTGGATGCTGGGTTTGGAGGCAGGCACCCAAAAGACCCCAGGCTCAGACAGGGCTCAGGGGTCCACACCTCTTGCAGATACTCCTGACACTCTGTTCACCTGATGGGTGGTGGGAGGTGTCTTGGGGGGATGCCCAGTGGGGAATGGCCTGTCCCAGGATGCCAGGCCTGGGGCCCCTCGCGCGTCCTGACCTGTCTGTTGTCACAGGCGCCGGCTCTGCAGCAGTACCGTGCTAGTGCCGGCTCCCCGGCTAACCAGTCTCCCACCTCACCTGTCTCCAATCAAGGCTTCTCCCCTGGGAGCTCCCCACAAGTAAGGGATGCCGCCTCCCCTCTCCCAGCACCCTGCACTCCAGCCTTGCTTTGCATCCCCCATGTATCTGTCCCCCACCACCTGTGCCTCACACCTCATTGCATCCCATCTTGTCCACTCCAACAGGGCAGGGAGAAGGAGGCACTGCCCGCCAGGCCCAGCCCAGGAGCTGCCATGTCCCCACTGTGTCTTTGGGGCCTTCGCAGAGCCCTATCTGGAGGTGGTGGGCCCCTCACTCGCATTAGTCACCTTAGTTTTGGCCACACCCTGGCTTCTTGCCCAGCAGCTGGGGACACCTCAGCATGTGGCTCAGAGCATATGTCAAACAGCCCGTGCACACAGCCCCACCTGCACCTGCCCATACGAAACTTCCAGAAGTTGGAGGGGTTCTCTTCCTGCTTTGGGACACAGCTGAGGTGATGGCTGGCCTGTGGTTGGGACCCTGACTCCTCAGATTCTTCTCCCCTCTGCCTCAGGACAGGAAGGCATGTCCTGAAAGGAAGCTCCTCTGAGTGGCACCACAGCTTCTCAGGGGTCTGTGTCCCCATCTCAACAGATGAGGAGCCTGAGGCTTGCCTCATGCCACTGGCAGGGCTTGACCACATCCATCAGACTTGGGTGTTCCCCCAACACAATTGGACCCCAGTCCCTGGCACACATACATGCATACCTACCCCCATCCAGGTACCTCAGAATTCCCCTTAGCACCACTCACCTGGTGGCTGAATCCTGACTGGAGTATTCCACCAGAGGAGAGGAGGTGCCCACAAAGCTGACATCTGGGCTCGAAATTTCCATACTGCAGAGCCTCCTCAGGATCCTGCCTCTCTGTCCCCAAAATGTCACCAAGCTGAGAGACTCCCAGGAGCTGCTGCGAAAGAGCAGTGCCCCAGGGACAATAGGATTTTCCTTCCCTGCTAAGGAGGGGAGAAAAGCTATTCCACCAGACAGGACCATGCAAGAACAATGTCGGGCTCCCTTGTCCCAGGGGATGTGCCCTGCTGTCCTTACTTCCCCAGTTCTCAGAGGTGCACCCAAATTGGGCCCTGTGTTTTGAGATGGTGGGTGTCATGTTCAGGAAGGCTGCCCTCATGGTTCCACCTGCTATAGGAGGGGCTCTCCTAGGACTCCTCTGCAGTGGCCTGGGGTCCTGCTGGGACCATCAGTGTGCAGCTTCCTGCTCCATAGGCAGGTGGGGAGGCATCAGTGAGCTCAGGGCAAGCCAGAGGTCAGCCTGGTGTCTGCAAGCTCTCGATACATCCACGCTAGCTCCCAGCTCTTGTGGCTCCCAAGAAATGGCTAGTCTGGTCATAGAGTGTCATGGGATGCTGAGAGATGGGAGAAGGGGTCCAGGCAGGGGAAATGGCAGGTGGGGCCTGTTTCTGGGGCTGGTCCTTGAGTAATGTGCCTTTTTACACAGGCAGCAGGACAGAGATTCAAGGGTGGAGCAGTTGTCCCAGGAGAGATTTGCCAAGACCAAAGGGGGTTCATCCATCCTATACAAAAAGTGTGTTGCTGTCTCGTCAAGCCCATGTCTGTGTGTTGGTCTGTCCATCCAGTCACTGGGTGCTGCAAAGGAGGCTGGCAGCTCAAGCAGCCACGAGGTCAGGGCTGTCAGGTTGTCTGGACTCAACCAGACATGGGCTTAAGATGACCGAGAGACTCACTTGGGGGGCAGACCATGCCAGGTGGAGGCCGGGTGGCTTCGCACTGCAGCTGCGTCCCCAGGTTGCATTCAGTGGTCCTGTGGGCCTGGGCCTCCCTTCCCCTCCCCTCCCCAGCCTACCCAGCCTACCCAGCCTCAAGTGGACGTTGTTATCTGTCTGACTGTACCGTGGGCCTTAAGCAGCTGGCCTTCGGTACTAGGTGCTGTGTTCCTCCCTTCCATTTTGAGCGGACCTTTCTGCAAACTCATGGCAGCCTCACAAAAGAAGTCTTACCCTAGGTCCCCTGCTTGTGACAGGCCTCTTTGACGCCAAGGCCATCAGGATGGAAACATATCCCAGAACAGACCTGCTTCCTCCTTTGTGGGGAAACCTAGCCACAACCTTGCAGCCCCATTTTCCAAAACTGAAGCTGACTATATTGAGGGCAAAGGTGACATTTTTGCCAAATTGGCTGTTTTTCTGCTCTCAGCCTACTCACCAAGGAGGAAACAGACTTGGGTCTGGGCTGTGGTTGTGTTTCCTGAGGCCTGGTGCCTCATGTGAGCTCTGGCCACACACTGGCTGCCCCTCCTCCCTTCCACGTCCCACCAGGCTCCATTCTGCCATTTCTCTCTGGCAGGGGCTCCAAGCTTCTTTTCTTGGCATCTCTACTGCCTGTGAGGGTCCCTAGTCCCCTGCTCTTCTCCCAGGAGCAGACCTGGCCCCCAGCTGGCCTTAGAGGAGCAGGAGATTGGGCTCCCTGCCCACCCATGGGCCCTGGGGTCCCCCAGGCAGGCAGCCATGGGCAGGTAGCTTTCTGTGTGCCTGTCCTGTGCTTGCTCAGCTGGCATCTGACTCTGTGCACCCATCCTGTCCACGTGTATATGGACTGCCACCATGTCCCATGTCTCCCTGGGGGCCTTACAAGGGTCACCAAGTGCACTTCCCATGCTGAAATTCAGAGCACCCCATGCACACTCCTTAGCCCCAGTCAGTGCTTTCCTCTGGAACCTGTCAGGGGGGTTTCTTGATCCCTGTGGCCCCCTTGTCTTCTATCTGATGGAGACATGATTCACTCATACCTGAGCTCAAGTAGAGGAGATGGTAGAAGGTGCTTTGGGGGATATTGGGGTACAGAGGCCCCCCCAGGAGCAGGTAGTGAAAAGAAACATCCTGGGATTGGGGGGGCACTCCTCCATCCTGGAAGGTGTGGACTGTCCCAGGCCTGAGATAGATGCTCAACCTACTTTATCCTGAACATCTTTCCCGGGGGGTTTCAGGGGCCTCCCTATGGGTACAACCAGCCTGTGGGGAGATCCCCTGCCCCAGCAGTCCCTGACCTGGTCTTGGGGACCGTGATGACAGCAGGCCTCTTTTCTGTCTGCAGCACTCCTCCACCTTGGGCAGCGTGTTTGGGGACTCGTACTATGAGCAGCAGATGGCGGCCAGGCAGGCCAATGCTCTGTCCCACCAGGTGAGCGGGTGCCCGGGTCACAGCGCCCACAGCAGACGCTTACCCGGACCCCGCCCGCCCCTCGGGCGTGAGCTTCGCTCCTAAGGCTCCCTCCTGTCCCAGGCCTTGGATAGGGGTGGCTTGGCTTTGTCTCCCCAGGCACCTGTGCCTGGCCCACAGAATAAGGCCAACGGCAGAGGGGTAGGGAGGGTGGGCAGTGAACACTGACAGGGACAGGCAGTGGCTATAGCATTGGCACCTCAGCGTGGGCTGTGCATGTGGGTTTGCCGGGAGGTGGAGCTGGCTTTGCGTAGAGGTCAGGGTCAAGGGCATGTGGGCATGAGTAGGGTTGGCTTCTTCCTGGAGCAGGTCACTCACCCATCCATCCTTCCATCAATCCATCCATCCAGCAAAGCCCTGAAGGGGCCGTGTGTGGACACGCCTGGGCAGGTTCAGAGAGGGAGGAGGGGGAGACCCTAGGGTAAGAGTCTCATATTCAACAGCCCTCAGTATCTGAGTACAGGTGCTGGGCTTGTTGCAGAGGAGTTGGTCCCAGTTGCTACAGGACAAGCCAGCCAGCAATAGCCAAGGGCTCAGCAGGGCCAGCCTCATGCTGTGTGCTTCCCCCCAGCTGGAGCAGTTCAACATGATGGAGAATGCCATCAGCTCCAGCAGCCTGTACAGCCCGGGCTCGACACTCAACTACTCACAGGCGGCCATGATGGGCCTCACAGGCAGCCATGGGAGCCTGCCAGACACGCAGCAGCTTGGCTACCCCAGCCATAGCAGCATCCCCAACATCATCCTCACAGGTGAGGCCACCTGGCTGTGGCATCCTGGATGGGCATCTTGGGCAGAGTGCCTCCATGGGGCCTGGCAGCTTCAAGAGGCCTTGTTCTCAGGGGAGATGGTGCTCCTGCCCTGCAGGATGAGTCGTATTAAGACTGGTTCAGAGAAGGCCAGACCCCACCAACTTTGACTTGTTGTTGGGCTGTGGAATAGGCCCCGGGGGACACACTGGACCCTGGCCAGGCTTCTTGTGCCCCATGGTCAGAGCAAGAAGAGGACAGAGGCAGTCACTCACCCCGCCCTGCTTCTGCTACCCAGGTCCCTGAACCCCATTAGCTGAGTATAATGGTGACTAGGGGGTGAGCCCTGCTTGCTAGGGCTTGTCACATGCAGCCAGCATACATGCAACCACTCACACACACTGCAGTGAGAATCCCCAAACAGCCTAAGCACAGCACCCAGACGTCTAGGGACATGCATAACACATATGTAAGTCCCTGCTCCATGTAGCTTAGAACCCAGACCCTTTGCTGCCCCTGCCCCATCCTGTAGATTCTGGGTTTTATTGAAAGAAGCGATTTCCTTACAAGCCAGGACTGTCTCAGGATTAAGATTGACACCCCTTCGTGGTCCCACCAACATCTCCAGGATGGAGACGCCTGTGCCCAGAAGCTCCCCCCGACCACAACGTGTAGTGCTTCCTCCCTACCTGAGGGGTATGAGCATCAGTCTGCAGTAGATGCTTTGGGGGCAGTAGCTTCAAATGCACAAGAAAACTTAGGCCCGTCTGCCCCCCCAAAGCCTAGAAAGCCCAGGGCTTTTTTTTTTTTTTTTAAGATTTTTATTTATTGGAGATCCCTGGGTGGCTCAGCGGTTTAGTGCTGCCTGCCTTCAGCCCAGGGTGTGATCCTGAGGACCCAAGATTGAGTCCCACGTCGGGCTCCCTGCATGGAGTCTGCTTCTCCCTCTGCCTGTGTCTCTGTCTCTCTCACTCTGTGTGTCTCTCATAAATAAATAAATAAAATCTTTAAAAATTCATGAGAGACACAGGCAGAGGGAGAAGCAGGCTCCATGCGGGAAGCCCAATATGGGACTCGATCCTGGGACTCCAGGATCACGCCCTGAGCTGAAGGCAGATACCCAACCGCTGAGCCACTCAGGCGTCCCAAGACCAGGACTTTTATGCCCTTGTCTCATATTGAGAAACTAAGGCCTAAGGTCTCACTGCAAGTGGAAGAAAGAGTCCAGGTTTGAACCTGGGTCTCGCAGGGCGGCGGTGGGGGGGGAATCACACCCCAGCCTGCTTCTCAGTGATGCACATGGAGGAAATATCCTGGTAGAGCAGGAGAGGCCCTTGCCCCTTCCCGCTCACACTGAATGTTTGTGACATAGGTGTTAGCCCAGGGCTTCCCAGCCTTGGACTGCTAATACAAGGAGCTGGATCTTTCCCTGGGGTGGTGGGACAATCCTGTGCATTCTGAGGTGCTAGGCAGCCTCCCTGGTCTCCACCCGATGCTAGCAGCATTCCCTCTTCAGTCAGGACAACTAAACATGTCCCTGGACATTTGCCAGTTCCTGGCAAACCCCCAGGTCAGCACCCCTGGTGTGGCCCAAGCCCCTCTTCCCTGAGCATTTTAAGGGGGGCTTGGAGGCACAGGACTTGAGAACAGGGAGCCAGGGCCATACTGAGACTTTTGTCCTGTGCCCTCCCCTCCAGTGACGGGAGAGTCCCCTCCCAGCCTCTCTAAAGAACTGACCAGCACACTGGCTGGAGTCGGTGACGTCAGCTTCGACTCCGACAACCAGTTCCCCCTGGATGAACTCAAGATTGACCCCCTGACCCTGGACGGACTGCACATGCTCAACGACCCTGACATGGTCCTGGCCGACCCGGCCACCGAGGACACCTTCCGGATGGACCGTCTGTGAGCTGCACATCTGGCACATCGCCGCCCAGCCCCCGGCTCCATCACCCCGCCGGTCAGTGGTCCCGACGGCGTCTCCCTGAGCCCAGGGACGGCCGCGCTCCGTCCTTCGCAAACGGCCGAGCTTGTGATTCTGAGCTTGCAATGCCGCCAAGCGCCCCCTGCCCACCCGCCCGCCCTCAGCTGTCCACCTCCCTCGGGAGGCCGCGTGTCACCCCCGCGGATCCTCCCTGCGCGTGCTCTTTCGCCCCCCACCCTGGGCCATGAGCCGTCCCCCTGTAAAATGCGGAAAGCGTGTTGGGCAGGGCCGCCGGCCTGGAGGGGGCGCTGTGGTCCACGGCGGCGGTGGGCTGAGGTGCATTTTCCGACTGTTGTCCAGCTCTCACTGCCTTCCTTCGTTCCTGGCCCCCCCTACCCGCCAGCCACCCCCAGCCCAAGGTTAGGTAGCGAGCCAGCCCCACCCTGCCAAAGGGAGAAGGTGCCAGAGAGAGGGGCAGACACAAAGTGAAATAAACACTATTTTGACTGCTGTCTTTTATATTTCTGAGCACATTCAGAGAATGCTAGAATCCGTCCCATGGAGGTAGACTATACAAGGTGTGAACAGAGCATGCAAAGCAGCTAAATCTTCCCGGGACCCATGCTCCCGCTTTGCCCACCCCCAGCCAGATCCCTCTATGGCCACCTTTGCCCTGAAAGTGAAGCCCCTGGCCAGGATGAAGGGGCCTGCCGGGGCTTGCATGTGGAGGCAGGGATTATTTCTGGGGGTGGTTTTCATCTCTCAACCTGTTTTCATCTTTTCTTCCTGTACCGTGGTCACTGTTACTGTTATTTAAAGAATGGGGTGGGGAGGGGGTGGCCAGGGTATTTTTGTTGTGTTTTTGTTTATTTGTTTCTTTTGGTTTGTATTTACACTTTGGTTGTAGATGAGTAGCTGACTCCTTCAATCCAATACTTGCCTGAGAGCATGTTTTTATTCCAGAAATCCCATGTTATATATATTTTTAAGCTAACTGGAAGCGATCTGCTGCCTGCCGGGTCTGAGCTGTGTCTCTGGCCGTTTTACCTAAGGCGCACGTTATCTCTAAATGGAAGGGCTGAGTGAGGGCGGGTTGGGCCTGGTAGGGTCTCTGGCAGAAGCTCCAAGTGGCCGGAGGTGCCTCCACTCCAGCCATGTGGCAGACTCCCAGGAAGGAGCCACGGCTTTTATTAAGGGTCTCTCGAAGATCCACCTCTGCCTGGCCATCCTCAAGGTGCCTGCCGGTCCTCAGGGAGGACTAGTCCCAGACCCCGAGGCTGGCAGCAGCTGCAGCCCCTCTGCCCTAACACCCCCCCGCCCCGTGATGAGGCTGCCCTCTCCCCCAATCCCACCCCCGAGAACCGGCTGACATTTGTTCCCTCCAGCCACCCCTTTCATGGCTCCTCCTGGCAGGGCTGGATTCGGAGGCAAAGAGCAGTGTGTGTTGTAGTGGCAGCTTTCCAAGTGCTTCTTGAAGTGGCTCTGGAGGCTGAGGTGACCATCTGGGCTTGGCTGCCATGCTGGGGGCTGTCCATGTGCCCCCCAGGGCCTGGGGGTAAAGTGGTAGGGGTGTCTTTGTTTTCTGTCCGCTGCTCTGAGGTGGAAACTTCTGTCTCGTCCCTTCGAAGCTGGATCTCGAGCTCTCGCTGGCTCGTTGGCCTGCAGGTTGGGCTGGCACCTTCTGCTCGGTGCATAATTTATCTGTGGTGTTGCAGCCACTGCCTCTAGGTCTTGAGAGCCCTTGGCTCCGTCCTTGTGGGAGCCAGAATTGATCCCAGCGACATCCCTCCCTCTCATTCCCGGGCCAGGCTGTTAGCACATGGCCAAGCGACTGGGCGGCCACAGGCGCAAGAAGGCTCCTTCCTCAGTCATTTGGCCCCTGCTGCCCTCATGTGGGCTTGGGGACACGGGGTCAGTCCGTCCCAGTCGAGGGCCCAGCCTCTTACTGAGGCAGGGGCTGGGAGCAAAGAGAATTTTTTTTTTTAAAGAAAAACTACATGTACATAGAAGAGTTTGATTATCATTAGACTTGTGTGTAGAACTTTTTAAAAAAATGGCCTTAATAAAATTACAAGCAACCTTCCTGGATGCAATTTTCAAACAAGGCATCGGGGACCCTGTGAAGGAGCCTCGTCAGCCCATCCTTTCTGTCTGCTCGGCGCCCAGTCCTCAGTGCAGATGGGCAGGAGAGGGAGGGCCTCCACCCCCCGCAGCCTATGTCCCACATCCCTTGGGCTGGGGGCACAGGTGACATTGTATTTACATGGCCACTTTGGCCCATGACAGGCATAGGTGCAGTTTGCCTAGGGAGGGGGTCCCAGCCAGGAGCCAGTGGCCAGATGTCCCTGTGTCCCCAAAGGGTTTACACTCCTGCCTGGGCCTGGTCAGGCCTCCTGAGGTCTGCAACGGGGGATTGTGCTTATTTCTTAAATATTGCTTCTCTACTAAATATTCTTGAATTGCCAAGATTTCCTGAAACAGGACAGCCTAAGGGAACCAGCCCTTTGTGATGTGAAAATACTGTGATTTTAGGCGAGCTGCGCCATGAGGGGTGGGCCGGGGCCCCTGAATATTGTATATAGACCCGCCGCCTGTGTGCTCGCTTGCTCGCTCGCTCGTTTGGGACAGGCCTGGAATGCTCAGCCCACGTGAAGTCAGAGGCCAAGCCAGTCTGTCCCCCCGCCACTGCCCCCCAGTGCTCCCAATCTCAGTCTTCTTAGCTGTGTGAACTTCTGCCCCGGGAACAAGCAAGTATGTTCCCGCCTGCCTCAGTTTACCCTCTGTTCCCCAGCCCCCAAGACAGTGAGTTTATTACCCCCAGGGACACTTGCCCAAAGTAGAGCCTGGGATCAGCCCCTCTCTGTGTTCTCCAGAGAAGAGGGCTTATGCCCCTGTCCCCTCAACACGTACCCATCAAAGTCACCCTCCACAATGTCCAGGGCTGACGTGGGGGAGGAGAAGGGGTCTTGTCAGACTTGTGTTCCCTGTCACAGGTACCCATGCCAACCTCCATCCCCCCCCCCCCCCCCCCGCACTGAGTCCTTCCAGGGGGAAGGTAGGCAGCGCTCTTCAGGGCGTCCTGCAGCGGCCTCCCTGTTCTCACATACCCTGCTTCCTCCCGGCACTCTACTGGGCAGGAAGGGCTGGGGGTGGCCTGCCCTTTTGGGGCAAGGGGTTCTGAACACTCAGTGGAAAGCTCAGGAGGCAGATTGACCTTTCAGCAAACGTTAGAGGCCCACAGCTAACGGCATCCAAAAACTGTTTGCGCTCCCCTGTGGGGGCAAAGCCAGAGCAAAATTATGGTGGGTCCCGTCTGCCCAGCCATTGCCGTCCATAGGACTCCCTGGGACCAGCCAGGCCTAAGGGAAGGACAGCCGTGTGTGTTTGTGGCCCTTGCCACAGCAGCACCTCCACATAGACCTCCCTGCTGGCTTCTGAGCCACCCGCCTGCCCCAGGGGTATGCATTAAGGGCAGGGGTCCTGCCTTTGCAGCTGCGTTCTGATCTTGTGTATTTCTGGGGTTTGGTGGTTGGGAAGAAGGGTTCTGACTGTGTGTGGCCTGATTTCTTTGGGTGGCTGCGCTCCCTGGAGGCTGCCTAGCCAAGTGGGCCCTGTTGTGAGGCCCATGTGTCATAGTGGAGCAGGCAAGGCTGGATGTCAGACACCATGAGACCCCCACACGGAGGGTGAGAAGGCTCTATGGCTCTATGTCCATTCCTATGTCTAGCAGTGGGTGTACGGTTTGCAGGTTGTATGCCAGGTGCTAGCTGCAGCCTAGTCAGGCAGGACGGGAGCAGGTGCCAGGTCTGTGGGGGAGCTGGGCGGGGCTCAGGCAGCAGGGGCTGCCTTCCCCCGCATCCGGCATCCTGGACCTGATAAGCCCCTATGAGGGGCTGTCCTTCGAGGGGCCCTCAGGGGAGCTGAGCCCCCCTCCCCAGACCTCCACATCTCAGCCAACCCTGAGCTGGTTCAAATATCCTTTCAAACTCCCACCCCCAACTGGATTCTGGGTTTTCTGCATTCCCAAAGAAGGATCCCCACTCCTGGGTACAGGCTGGGTGTGGTAAGCCCTGGTAGTATTAGGGGGCCCTCACCCCCTACCCTGGTCCTGACAAAGCAGCAGTAGCAGCACCCATCACCCTCCCTGGGTTCTCATAGAACCGTGGTTAAGAGACCACAGTACTTAGAGTGTGGGGGTAGGGTGTGGGGGCCGCAAGGTCGAGGGTACCCAGTGCCCCTGGACTTGTCCTGTCACTGCTTGTGGGTGCTCCAAGTAAGAGAGCTGTGGCCACCTGAACCCTTCCCACTTGGCTTGCAGAGCTCCGGGGGTGTGGGGAATGCATTCTTCCCCCACTGCTGGAGGTCTGCCTAGGTATGGGGGCATCCGGATTTGTCGCTGCTCCTTTCTCCTTGGAACCTAGGCCCCCACCTCCTGGGAGTCTCACGGTGTGTGACTGGGGGTTCCTGGAACATTCCCCCATCAGGCCCTGCCCAGCCTGCACTGTCTCAGTCCATGGTTTCTCTTGGCCTTTGGCCTCCAGGGTTCCTGGTTGGGTGGGGTTCAGGCACCTCTCTAACCCTCCGTGTGCCACAGGCAACTGGTCACAGACATGTTCTCTCCAAAGTGGCCACTCCCCAGGAGGGAGGTGAGGTGACCTGCCCCCACCCAGGCCTGGGCGCTAGGGTACTCTCAGAGGTATGGGGGGTGGCAACTGGAAAAAGATCCTTGTGACCCGGGCCTCAGTTTCCCTCCTATCACTGGCTCAGACCCATGGGTCTTGAGTCCTTAAGCTTCCCTGGCAGGGTCAGGAGTAAGGGCTGAACGTCAGAGTGATGCTGGCTCCAGACAGTTCCCTCTGCCTTCTGTCCTCTTGACCAGCCCTCAGTATCCTGTCCCAAGATGCCAGGGACACGTGGTACATCCCGGGAGTGGTGTTACCCCCATCTCACAGTGTTCTGGAGTTTGGGGGCAGTTGATGCCCAACCCATCCAGCCCATCACTTCTGACCTCTTGCCCACTTGGGATAGGTGGACACAGCCGTGGCCTTTGCCACCAGGCCCTGAGAAGGGGGGCTTTGGCAGCCAAGGTCCACTGACCCCGCTGTGCCCCGCCATAGAAAACTGCCCCCCTGGGCGGCACCACTGATATATGCAAACCTGCTGGTCCGAGCCCTGCTTCGCCTGTGTTCCTCTGTCCCCAGGCTGGCTCTGCCCCCCTCCCCAGCATGTACACTCTGCTGTGGATGTCCCGTGGGCCGTGGGTTGGGTGCCCATGGCGGGTGGGGGCGGGCGGCTCAGGGCGCACTCGGCCGGCCCCTGCCCATCCTCTCTGGCGTGGACGCTTTTGTCTTTGTACCTTTGCATCCTTTGTAATGAAACATAATAAAAATCCAATGTTTTCGTCTCTGCCTCCTCCCCTTTTTTCCTGCTCCTCCTCCCACACTGGGGATGAAACATGGACCTAGTAAGGTATACCTGGTGGGAGCCATACATAGGTGCCACACACACACACACACACACACACACGAATATGGGCACACTGGCGTGAGCCCTTCACCCCCACCCCTGACCAGCTAGTTGGTCCTGTCTGGAAGGGGAAGGACCCACCCCCTCCAGGATCCTGGGGCAGGCACTCAATGGTGGGGATCCAGGCCTGAGATCTCACGTAGATAGGATGCAGCAGCAGGCCTAAGGCCTCCCATATCGGGGTTGGACACTCCTAGTCAGGCTGCTGGGCCCTAGCTAGTCAGGAGGGGTGTCAGCAGCAAGCTGAGTTTGGGGTCCCTGCTCAGCCCTCCCTCAGAGGCCCCACCCCCAATCTCTCTGCAGTAGAGACCACAGCCAGCCACTCCACCACACACACTTTATTTTGTCCTTTCTGAGCCCCTCTAGGGCAGCTACCTCTTGGAGCCAGGTGCCAAGTTCCCTGCTTGTCGCAGTGAGGGTAGCCACGATGGTGGCCATCTTCCAGCAATGGGTCCCCACCCCCATCCCTAGGCCTGCAGAAGCCTCTGAGTCTCGTAGTCCTCTGGTATGGTGTCTGGGGAGAAAGGGCAAGCAGGTGAGTTGGGATGAGTCTGGGTGGGATGAACTCCCCACCCTCCTTGGCAGGACGCTCACTCCCCTCACCATTGCACCGGTAGCGCAGATTGGCCCAGATGATGTTCTCTTGGGAGAAGCAAAAGACCCCCAGGCGGCCACCCCGCATGGTTGTGTCCAGGACCACGTTGCTGTCGGCCACCAGCTCAGGACCCTCGTAGAACCGTACTCTATGAAGAGGATAGGACAGTGAGGCAGGGCCCTGGGCTAAGCTCTCCCCTCTGAGACTTTGGCGTCTGCCCTGGAAGATAGGTTCCCCTCCTATCTGGGAGTGGGGGCCATGTCCCCCCCACCGCCTGGACCACACTCAGGGCAGGTAGGGCTTCTGACCTGTGTGAGAGGATGGACACAGCAGGTGCTAACCAGAGTGCCCGGACTTTCTGGCAGTGCAGAGTGGGGACTGAGAAACAGGGAGCTAGTGGGACCCTACCTTCTATGTGAGGACCTGCTGTGTCCTGGGTCCCAGGAGGAGTGTCATGTCCCAGAGCCAAACATAGTTCATTCTAATTGCTCACATCATTTCCATTTTACAGATAAGGGGACTGAGGCCCCCTGAATCTCTAGGAGCCAGGACAGAGCAAGGGACTCCTGGTCCATTGGCAAGGGATGAGATCCCGACCTGATGTAGCCCACTTGGGGCCGATGCTGCAGGAACCAGCGGTAGGATGTCTTGTCCTTCCAACCCACGTTGCGGGGGTCCTTCCACAGCAGCCGCACCTGTGATGCTGTGTCCCCTGTGTGCCAGAGTGCATTCCGCAACTGCTCCCCGGGGCCTGTGGAGGACTTCACAGCCTACCAAGCCCAGGGACAGAGGAACAGGGTCAGAGACTGCACAGGCTACTGGAGCCCCAGAACCCTGCATTGTGGGACAGGTGGGGAGCCGTACGTCTTGGCAGTGGGGGGTGGGTGGTTAGGGTGCCTGGATGGGAAACCTGCAAGGAAGCCTTCTTAGGGGTCACGTGGAGATTTGCAGGTGGGATATTGGGGGCAGGGATGGTCCAGGATCTCATTAGAGTATTTGGGAGTCCACGGACAGGTTTGGGGTCTGAGAGGATTTGGAGGTGGTCTGCAAGAGGATTTAGAGACCTCTAGAAAGTTTTGGGTGTCCATGGGATAAGAGGATTGGGGAATTTGCTGCAGCGTTTCAGTGACATACTAGGGCCCACAGATCCTGCAGTACAATTTGGAACCTGAAGGAAAGTTTAGTGTTCCGTAAGAAGGTTTTGGGGCCCAAAGGAAGATTGGGGGCCTGGGAGGAGTGTTTGAGGGCCTGTGGGAATCCAAAGGGGGGTGGCTGGGAGGACTTTGAGGTCTGTAGCTTGATGCTGGGTACAGGGCTGTAAAGGTTTTGGGAGTCCGTGGAAGGATTTGGGGCTTTCTAGAGAGCACAAAGACCGAGAGGTCAGGTAGGGCCACAGACACCTTGAGCTGAATGCCGGGTTCAGCTACCGCCCTGAAGGGATTCGCCTGCCAGTATGTCTGCTCCATCTGTTTCCACATAACCACGTAGAAGCTGGAGCTGTCCTGGTAGCCAAAGATGAAGCCAGCATAGTCATCATCTGTGACTGTGTTCACGTGGAACGTGCCTTCGAAGTCCACGCCGTTGAAGGCCGTGTAACCTGGGGGAAGGAGGGTACCAGTGGGGTTCCAGGACGCTATCCCTACCCCCACCGGGGGCCCTGGTGCGTCCAACCTCGCCCCCGTGGCTTCGGAGTCCAGCTTGCCTCCTAATCCCAGATGCCCACCCACAGACCCGCCCCATCCCCACCGCGGAAGGCAGCATGACCACGCCCCTGAGTCGGCCGACAGCCTCGAGCCGCGCTCCTTCAGAGTCCAGAACAGTCCAGCCGCTGACCCCAGACCCAAGCTGGCTCTGCGGTTCCTGCGTTCAGACCCGCCCCTGGCCACGCCCCCTATCTGGTTGGCTGCACCGCCTTGCCCCTCTCGTTGTCTCACCCACAGCCAGGCCAGGGTCGCTGTTCATGGTCTGCACGATCTCCATACCCTGAAAGGAAAAAGGGCTTCAGGAGGGCCGCGTGGGCCCTCGGTTCCCCCGCCCCCAGCTTCAGACCCGTTCCCACCACCTTCTGCCTTGGGCCCGGCCCCAACCTGGTTGAGCACCACCCAGTTGGGATCAATCTGCGCGTCGCCCTCGGGGTCCAGTACGACAGTCTGGAAGGCCCGGAAGTCGGTGAGGGTGACCTCGGCATTCTCCGGACACACATCGATCTTGTCCACCACTTTGTCCGCGTCGAAGTCGCCCTGGCACGCATCGCCCACACCGTCCCCTGAGAGACATAGGAGGTGGGGTCAGCGCCAACATCGCACAAGGCCTAGTCACGCCCACACCTGCTGTCGGTCCCGCCCACACCACGTCCCAGCCCCGCCCATAACTGCCAAGATTGCCACACCAGCCTCAATCCCACCACAGGCCCCATCCCCTGCCTTACGGTCTACATCTTCCTGGTTTGGGTTGGGCACAAGACGACAGTTGTCCCGACTGTCGGGGACTCCGTCGTTGTCATCGTCGTCATCGCAGGCGTCACCCTGGCCATCGTGGTCTGAGTCCTGCTGGGCACTATTCGGTACTGTAGGGCAGTTGTCCCGTGAGTCCTGGTGCCCATCCCCATCCCTAGAATTGGTGAGTGGGACACAGAGTGAGATTTCCCAGAGTGCTGGGTCAGAGCCTCCCACCCTCGGTCCCCACTCTCACCCCACATGGCCTCCTTACTTGTCTTGGTCGCTGTCACAAGCATCTCCCACAAAGTCGTGGTCTACATCCCTCTGGGGAGGGTGGATGCAGGAGTCCGGAATCAGGGCAGGGAAATTCACAAGCCTCCCACCCACACCCAGTTCCAGAGCCAAGGTCATCCTGACCCCCATGGGACACCCCCACCATACTTAGACTGGATTTCAGTCTTCTTAACTAGACTAGAGTCTAGACTAGTCTAGAGTTCACCTTGGGGATCTAACCCAGCTGGTGTGTAGCCCGCTCTCACCTGGTCTGCGTTGCTTTTCTGGGGACAGTTGTCACAGGCATCTCCTACACCGTCACCATCACTGTCCTTCTGGTCTGAGTTGGGTACCCTTGGGCAGTTGTCCACCATATTTCGAATCCCTGCAAGAAGTAGGGGGACAGCAAGGATCCCAAGATGGGGGAGGGGCAAGGCTGACTTCTGCAAGGCAGCTGCAAACCTGGGGCTAGCCTGGAACAGAGTCCCATGCCTCTCCTGGCTCCTAGTAGCTACAAAATTAAATCAAGTGCTCCTTTGGGCCCAAGCCTCAGAGACGTAATGAATGGACGATGGGTGAGGGGACTGGCTGTCATCTCACAGGCAAAGCTCAGGGGGACCCTCCGCTGGCACTGTGAATGCACCACCCTCACCCTACATGTCTGCCCCAGGTATAAAATGGGCACCTTCCTGGCCTTAAACTCCAGATTCACGTCTGTTCTCCTACTTACTACTCCCTGCAGCATCTGACACAGGGCCCACGTCCCCCCGCCCCAAATGTTCCTGCCTTTTACCTTCTGCGCCCTGTCCCAGCTTGCATTTTTCTGCCCGCCAGAACACAGGCTATGGTCGTCCCCAGAGCCCAGGGCGAGCTCACCCACTGCGGCTTCCAAAATCAGGCGAGTTCCGCCCTCAGGCAACCCCCCCCCTCGGGGCCGGTTCCCTCTCTTCTCCCCCCTGCTTCAGCGCTCACGGTCGCCGTCGATGTCGTCGTCGCAGGCGTCGCCTTTGCCGTCCTGATCTGTGTCCTTTTGGTCGTCGTTCTTCTGGGACCGGCAGTTGTCGCAAGCATCACCCCACTTGTCGCCGTCCGTATTGCGTTGGTCTGGGTTCCGCACCAGCTTACAGTTGTCCTGGGGGACAGGGACGGTTAAGGGGGCGGCGGGGGCGGGGGGGAACCAGGCCCGGAGGGGCAAATGTCACTCCCTGACCAGCCCATCTCCGAGGCCCCGCCTCCTCCGCAGAGCCGCCCTCATCCTTCCCGGACCCCCGAGTCCACATCCTCTGAGGCCACTTCCCTCACCCAAGCCACATCCCCACCCAGCCTTGCCTAGGATCCGACGTAGGCCCCACCTGCTCGTTGAGGACCCCGTCCCCATCAGCATCCGGGTCGCAGGCGTCTCCGATGCCGTCGCGATCCACGTCCTCTTGCCCTGAGTTGGGCACCGTCACACAGTTGTCCTGGGGGCGGGCACAGCGGGCGTGAGGGGGCGTGGCCAGCGGGCCCCGCCCATCACCGTCCAGTGCACGCCCTTCAGGCCCCGCCCACCTTACGGCACTGGCGTTCTGA